TGGCAGAGGTGTGAGCAGAGAACAAGGCTGTCCTTCTGATCAGAGATCAACCGTCTGGGTTCCGCGCCCAAAATCCCAATCGGATGAGTGGAGGGGCCCAGGCAGCTGTGTTGGGGACAGGAGCAAAGGGGTGGACTGTGGCCATCACGGCCGCAGGAGAGGAGTGTTGGCTGAGAGGGGCTAGGGGGCCCCCAATGGTGTTGGGACGGGCTTGCTTGTCTTTGCAGCTGATATTGACGGATCCCCTCTCACGTCCTAGATGCTCTGCTTTATTTGCACCATGTCCGAGAGGGGATATAGATCCCGTACCTAGAACAGGCAGTCGCTCCAGCACGGAGCCCGGAGAGCCCAGCTCCGTGTGTCTCGTCCTGATCCATCCCTGGATCCCTCTCTGGCTACGCCTCGTTCTCCCCCGTCTGTGTCTCTGCCTCGACCTCCCCCTTTGCTTTCTTCCTCTGCAGAATCCCTGGACAAGCCCACCCTCTCAGTCAGTCGGAGCACAGTCACAGAGTACCAGGACAGGGTGACTTTCTACTGTGACACCACGGAACTCCACGTCACCATCCGCTGGGTCTTCCAGAATCAGTCCCTGGTGCTGAACGAGCGCATGCAGCTGTCCGCGGATGGCAAGACGATCACCATCCTCACGGTCCAGCGGGAAGACTCTGGGACGTACCAGTGTGAAGCCTGGGATGCCCTTGAGTTCCGGAGCAGCGATGCCATCCTCCTGGAGGTCAACTGTGAGTCTCCTTCTGTCCCCCGTCCCCAGTCCCTTGTCGACACTCACTTCCTGGGTGCCTCATCCAATCTCACAACCCTGAATCCCAACCCAATGCAGAACTGTCTGTCTTTGAACTTGAACTGAGAAGGGTTTGACATCTCTGCTCCGAGGCTACTGGAAACTCCATCGTAATGGACCTAAACTTGAGCTCCCAAACCTCAGATCTTGGCTGCAGCGTCTTGCCTGGGTCGGGCGTGGCAGGGAGCCCCAGCTGGCCCGAGCTGGGCCTTCCAGTCCTGCTTCACCCAGGCACAGAGCTGACATTAACCCGGAGCCCACACCTCCTTTGCCCATGAGCGGGAGGAGGGAATGCGGTCTATACGGATCCCGAGACCCCCTGCAAGAGAGCTGTGGCCGACGCTGTTGTAACGGCTGTCATTGTTCCTGTCCTCCCAGATGGTCCCGACCTTATCGAAATCAAGTTGGATTCCGGTGTTCCCAGCGGGGAGGCGGTCGAGGTTCTAGAAGGCTCCACCGTGAACTTCCAGGCGGAAGCGCAGTCCCACCCAGACCCTACCTATTCCTGGATTTTCCCCAACAATTCCATCCTGCCTTCCACCTCGGGGACACTGACCATCGACGCCGTGTCCAGGGAGGACGAGGGCATGTTCCGGTGCTTGGTGTACAACAGCGCCACCCTCCTGACCCGCCTGGGAGCTCTTCGAGTCCACGTCCTCGGTGAGTCCCCTTCCCTGGTCCCCCTCTTTGTTCTTCTCAGAATCAGAGGCCCTCCACGTCAGAGGCCACCGGAGGGTCTCATCTGGGGCCCTTGGCCATTCTGTGTGAGAGCGATGCTTGGCTGGGTCTCAGGTGGCCCAGAAAACGTGCCGTGTCCCAGAGAGAGAGTCGGTGACCGCAGTCAGGTCCTCAGGGGGCTGAGAAAACAGTTAACGCCGAGCCCCACCAACACCCCAGAGTCGGAGGGGGACCCCAGAGCGGGCACGTCCCCCTCGTCTGGTGGCTGAGTCGCACGCCCACCTCAGGGAAGGACCCGGACCCCAGCTGGGCACGTCCCCCAGGAGACCCTGCTGGCTCTCCATGGCTGTCCACGGCTGGATTCTGTGGAAGAGGGGTTGATTGTCAATGTGTAACACTAACACAACATTCCTTACACACACAGCGCCCAATAACCACACACACTTACCATACGACACACACCACAGACACGCAACTCATCTACAACACGTGAAACAACACTGCAGGCACACAGCACGCACACAACACGCACATGAAGAGCATGCACAAGATATGTGTGTGCAACACACTCGATACTCTGCATTACACAACCAAGACACACAACACCCACACACTGTGCACACAGACCCACAACCCTCCATACACTCGCACATATTCACAATACTTGAACAACACACAAGACATACAGACAGATTTCATGTACGAGTACACAACGAGCAATACCACGAACACACAACACACTCTCCCGTGAAACGTGAACACACATAACAACACACAACACACTCAGGATTCACCCAACGTTGCAGACACTTAAGATACACAATGCAGAAAACGTACTTCGTACTGCACCAAATATACACACAGGCCATTCACACCCAGCACAGCCGTACACAAAGCATAAACACACAACGTACAACACACACCCATAACACAGATGATACCGCAGACACAGCACCCACGGTTGCATGCAGAACATATGCACACGTGTAACACAGGCTCACACACGAGGTGTCTGTGTATACCACCCACACACCTCACTCACAACACACACAACACACACGGCAGGCACAAAACACACATTCACAGACACACAAACGTGCACCACACACAATTTTTATATGACACACTTGACCACAGGAGAGATTCACGTGCCACATGTGCCACATAGTCCGATCCAGAACACATGCACACACACGCTACCCACAACACGCACACACACACACACACGCACACATGCACACATAAGCACATGCACGCTACCCACAACACGCACATGCACACACACATGCACACACCCTGGGGAGCCCCTGTGGGCCTGTGGGCCGGGAGCGGGGAAGCTTCCTGGAATCTGACCCGTGTCTCCGCGTGTTTCCAGAAAACCTGACCAAGCCTCAGGTGGAGGCCTCCAGCCTGGACCTCGTGGAGACCGTCGGCCCCGTGAACCTGACCTGCCAGACGGCCCATCAGAGGGTGGCCGTCCAGTGGTTCGTGAGTGACCAGCCCCTCCTGCCCAGCGAGCACCTGGCCCTGTCAGACGACAACATGACCCTGGTCATCCACAGCCCCCGGCGGGAGGACACGGGGCCCTACGCGTGTGAGATCTGGCACTGGGGCAGCCGGGCTCGCAGTGACCCCCTCACGCTGACCATCAACTGTGAGTGGCCCGGGGCGGTGACCGCGTCCTCCTCCCTCCAGGTCCTTTCTCCACTCACTCACCACGCTCCATGCCAGCCGTGAGCCTGGGCGGGGACAAGACCGCGGGCCTGTGCTGGGGGACCTTATGTCCCAGGCAGTGGCTGAGGGACAAGACCTCAGGGGCAGGGATGGCCCGTGAGGGGGGACCGTGCTGGGTGGCGCAGTGACCGGGTGAGGACCAGGAGGCGATCAGGGCGCTGACCCTCCAGAGCTCGGCTCTTGGGCGGCGAAGAGGAAGGTTGAGGGTCAGACCCCAGTCCCCCGGGAGCCCTTGGCGAGGGGTGAAGGGAGGAGAAAACAAAGCCCACGGAGAGGGGCGCTTCAGCCAAAGCACTCGCAAGGGAGGGCGGGGCCGTCTCCAGGCAGAGGACGACGGAGGGGACAGTGCTGTCCCCAAGTTCATCACTGTGTATGTTAACTTGAAAACTGGGGTGGCCCGTCAGCAGCCCTCACCAATCGGGTGTTCAACTCCCCCGTCACAGCAGGTGGGGGCTTCTGACCTGCCTTGGTCCTCTCTGGAACTGTCACCGTGGCCGTCCTACCTGGGGGGCTTCATCTACCCGTCAATCCCATGTTAATGGGGGCACTGGGGTCAGTAGCTGGGCAGAAGTTAGTGGCCCGAGCTACTAAAGGAATCTTCGTCCCCTGACAAACGGAGACCCCTTGAGCCGTGGCCCCGGGCCTCACGTCCACATCCGGGCCCTGTCCGAGGCAGTCCCACGAACCCTTTTCTCTTGACGCATTTCCGATGAGCTCCTTTTGCTTCTCTTTCTTTTCTACAACTTAACTACCACCTTGCTTCCCTGTTTACTCTGGGGGGAGTGTAAAGACCCTCGAGTGATCTAAAGAGCGCGGTGACCTGGCCTGCATCTCACGGCTCATTGCTCGCTGCTACTAACCCAAGGACAGGACTAGACAGGTGTTGACAGGGACCCACTGGCCCGTCTGCGACAAGGCAGGGGCAGAAGCAGGAGACGGAGGTTCCCACAGGGGCTTTGTGTTTCGGTCCTTGGGAGAGCAGCCCTGGGGTGGGGTTCAGTGGGAGGCACAGGCCCGGGAATCTTCGGGGAGTTATTGGGGAAAACATTCCTGGCAGGGGCCATGGTGGCCGGGAAGCCATCGGATCGAGAGGCCAGCGGAGCAGGGAGGGAGGGAGGGTGGGATGGCAGCGCTGACGACAGCAGAGGCTGAGGGTCACCCCCCAGGTCCCCCAGGAAGAGGGGGCAGGCAGAGAGGCTGGCAGGTGCAGCTCCTGGCAGGATGGGGGTGGATGTCAGCCTGCAGCTGGGCCCTGGGTCCGTCACACGGTTCCCACTGGAGGTCTTCCAGGGGCCTTATGGTGGCCACAGTCATCCAGTGAGGGGAGACGGGCTGGGACGGCTGTGGAGTAACAAGAAGCCGTCAGTGGATTCAGGGCACAGAACTCACAGGTCTGCTGCTGGGAGATGGGAGGTGGCATGGAAGGGAAGCGGCCCCAGCGGCTCCAGGGCTGGGGATGTGGCGCAGGGTCGAGCCCTGGCCTGACGCGCACAGACAGGGGCTGATGGCGGGAAGGCGGGCAGGAAGGCGGGCGGCCTCCAGGCCTGTTTGCTTGGGCCACCTAAGGATGGAGGAGCCAAGAACTGGTGTGGAAAGATTGGGGAGAAGAGGTTTCGGCAGGGAGACAAAGTTGGGGTCCACTTTTTCTATTTTTTTGGTATGAGGATTGAACCCAGAGGTGCTCAACCCCTGAGCCACATCCCCAGCCCCCTTTTATATCTTATTTAGAGACAGGGTCTCGTTTAGTGCCTTGCTAAGTTGCTGAGGCTGACTTTGAACTCGCCTCCGTCTCGCGAGCCGCTGGGATGGTAGGCGTGGGCCGCTGTGTGCCTGGCTTCGGGTTCACTTTTCCACCTGTTGAGCAGGAGGGTTAAGAACAGGCTTCTCTGTTGCTCCCTCTCCGTTCGTCCCTACTTTAATCGTGAAGCAAAAATACTTATTTTGTGTCCTCTGGGCCAGGCAACAGGGCGGGCAGTGGGTTGTCCCAGTGTCGCGGCCTCCTGGGGGTGGGAGGTGGGTAAAGCAGGCAAACGAAATACCCAGCGATCAATGCTGCTATGTGGGGGAAGAAGGGAGGGTTGGGAGCCCAAAGGAAGCCCCAGACGAGGGATGTGGGAAGGCCATTGTGAGAGCTGAGATCCCCGTGCGACTGGAGGATGAGCAGGGGTCAGCCACGCAGCGTGACAGGCTGGTGGCTCTCAGGTAGGATCTTGCTCCGGGATGAGAGCAGGAAACGTGGAAAGGTGGGTGACGGGGTTGGAGAGGTCTAGGAGGGCCGTTCACATTATGAATGACCTCATCAGCCCTGGGCTTTGTCCCAAGGACACTCGGGGGTGGGGGTCATGGAAGGTTTGAGCCGAGAAGCCACGGCATCAAGTCTGTGCCCAGGAAGAGCCCTCTGGGGGCTGGTGGAGGTGGAGCCTGGGATGCAGAGTCCAGGAGGGGCTGGACACGGCGAGGGAAGCGGGTCGGGTCCTGGGGTTCAGATGGGGAGGAAAGAACAGATTCAAAGGATGCTGGGGAGGGGCATGGGCCGGGATTTCTTCCCCTAGAATATCCCAACAAGACACCGAGCATATGTCTTTCCAGAAGAAGGGCAATCCACTCTTTCATGAGTTTGAGCAAGGCTTGGCTTCCAGACTCCTTTAGTTGGGATGGAAATCCAACTGCGACTCCTGTTTGTTTTCTTCATGTGCGTAGGAGGAGAGCGCGGAGCCAGCGGTCCCCCGCTGGAGTGGTGAAGGAGATTTGCCACGTGTTTATGTCATTGGGAATCCACAGCCTTAGTGCTTGGGGGCTGCGTGCCCAGAGTGCAGAGACGCTCTGAAGCCTGGCGCCTTGTGAGGCTCCTTGGAGAGAATTCTCCTGTGTACAGGCAATTTCCATCGCATGGTGGGGACCAGTATCTGCTTGTCACACAGCTCAGGATAAAGGGGGAGCATTTCCCTCTCTTCCACTAAGATTCCTTTCTTTCTTTCACTTTTCTTTTTTCTTTCTTTCTTCCCCCCACTTTTTTTTTTTTTTTTTTTTTTGGTGATACTAGGGATTGCACTAGTGGTGCTCTACCACTGAACTATACCTTGGCTCTTTATTTTATTTTTATTTCGAGACAGGGTCTTGCTAAGTTGTTGAGGCTGGCCTCAAACTCATGATCCTCCAGCCCCAGCCTCCCTAGCTGCTGGGATTACAGATGAACCCCTATCTCCATGTGCCTCCTCCCTGCAGTTGATTCTTTTCAACTTAGGCAGCCACTGTCTCTGGGCTGCAGACTGGAGTTCCCTCAGTTCCAGCTGAGCAGGGGCTGGGGGTGGGGGGTGGGAAGCACCATTTACAATGTGGAAGAGGGAAGGGGAGAAGGGTCATTTGGCAGACGCGTGGCTTTGCCTGCAGATGGCCCTGACCGAGTGGAAATCACCAGCGGGTCTCCGCCTGCTGTGGTGGCCACCGTCCAGGGGAAGCTCAACTCCAGCCTGACCCTGCAGTGCCGGGCCGCGTCCCAGCCAGAGGCGGAATACCGCTGGGTCCTGGAACACCACTCGGGGGTGTACACGGGGGAGCAGCTGGTCATCAGGGCTCTGACCCGGGAGCACGAGGGCATCTGCAGCTGCACAGCCTCCAACTCTCTGACCGGCCTGGCCCGCTCTGCCTCTGTGCTGATCCAAGTAGGTGAGTCTCTCTGGTGCGTCTTCCCTTGGGATCCGGGTGGCCTCTGCCTTGCTGGCTCCAGCCACCTACCCTGTGACAGCGAATGTACTGCACGTGTAAGTTCCCGGCTGGCCGGGAGCATTGAATCCCAAACCCTCTGTTTCTTGCTGTGTGCCCTGGTCAACTCTGCAGCCTGCTCTGAGCCTCAGTTTTCTTACCTGCAAGTGGGTTTGTGACGCCCACCTATCAGAGGTATTTAGAAAGACAACGCATCAGGAGATAGCCCGTGGGAGAGGTAGAGGGACGGTGGAGAGGATCAGGAATCACGTTAATAACAACTGGACTTGTCAAGAACTGTCTTGAGGTCTTGAGAAGGCAGCATAGTGTTGCTAGCTACTGGGATTCACATCCTGGCTCCAGTACTTACTGGCTGCGTGATCTTGGGCAATTTATTTAACATCTCTGGGCCTCTGATTTATTATCGGTAAAACAAACAATAATTGGACCTATTTCTTAGGGTTGTTGAAGATTAATTAATATTTATAAAGTCCTTACGTTTGTACTTGGTATGTTGTTTTTGTTAAACAAATAAAATTATTCTCTATTGAGTCTGTGCTACATGCCTGAACCAAACCTTTCCATATACAGTATCAAAAAATACTTGTTAGGTGCTCTCTGCCAGCCAGTATGAGGCCAGCCTGTTAGCACCTCCATTGTTCAAAGGGACAGACTGAGACTTAGAGAATCAACCCTGTTGCTGGTGTTTGATTTTTACTTTTTGTACCAGGGATTGAACCCAAGGCCCTTAACCACTGAGCCACATCCCCAGCCTCCAGCCCCCAATTTTTTGTATTTTATTTAGAGATGGGGTTGGGTTGAGTTGCTCAGGGTCTTGCTAAGTTGCTGAGGCTGGCTTTGAATTCTCGATCTTCCTGCCTCAGCCTCCCAAGCCGCTGGAATGACAGGCGTGAGCCACTGCGGCTTGTGGCTGGGCTTTGAAACCAGACTGCTGCCTCACAGCGGTGTTCTTTGGTTGCCCACTAAGCTGAGGACCCCATGCAGCTCCCAAATGACCTCCTTTAATCTCCAGTGCAACCCTTTGGTCCTTTGAGTGGACAACAGGCTCAGAAGAGGACCAGGGGGTTAGCAGGTTTGATTGACACTCATGGGAAAGTTCCAGATTTTGAGAGAGAGCTCATAGAAAGGCTCATGGTGCTTAGCGCTGGCTAGATAGCAACGTCTTTCATTGTCACTGGTCATTATTGTCATCATTTTTTTCATCGGGCACCTCTGATGTGTCAGGCAGTGGATGATGCTTCTGTGCACGATCCATTTCATTCCCTCAAAAAATATGTGCAAAAATGTGAGGGTCAAGCAATTGACATCCTTGTTTCACGTAAAGAAATGGAGACTCGGAATAAAGCTCTGAACCCCCAAGGCATCTCAGGAAGACCCCTTCAGAGCAGAGCCCCTTCCTCGTGCCCCTCACCCTCTGCCCTCCCAATCCTGGTGGCTGCATTTGGGCAGAGCTGGGATTTGGACTCAGGTCACTGGACTCCAGAAACAGTGCTATGAATGCTGCCCCCTAGTGACTGAAAAGCAAGTATTTGTCAAACGTCGATGAAGATGAAGCTGCAAGTTTAGGGCTGGGGCTGGGGCTGGGGCGAGGGTGTGTCAAGCCTGGGTTTTGGTTTTCTCTCCCTAGATCCCGAGTCCTCCCTGTCCGCAGGGGCCATCGCTGGCATTGTTCTTGGGACCCTGGTTGCCATTGCTCTGGTCATAGGCCTGGGCTATTTCTTCTACAGCAGAAAAGCCAGATGGTAAGACGGGGAAGGGGACGGGCCACGGGTGGGAGGTTTGCGGACCTCGGTGCTGAGCCGCGTGGGCGGCCCCTGGGGACTTTAGAGCTGGGGACTTTAGAGCTCGGGTGGTCGTCTGGGATGGACGAGGGATATGGATGGAGCTCGGGGAGAGGAGCACCAGCCAGCGGTGCGGGATTACAAGGATCTGGCGTTTCAGGCCCTCAAAGGGATCAGCGGATGGCCCCAGCCCCGAGGCCACACCGCCCACCTCCGTGCGGGAGCAGGTGACACGGCCCAGTTTCGGTAAGTGACGTCGTGGCCCATGCGTGGGAGCTGGGAAGAGCAGGGGCCGCGAGCTCAGGCCTCTCGTCCCCGCTCTGCCACCGAGGGACTGGTCACAGGCACGTCCTGACCTGCCCGAGCCTCAGTGTCCCCAGCACTCGCAGGGCGACACCCAGCCCTTTCTCCTTCCTGGGTCTCAGGGAATCTGGTTCATTGCTGTCAAAGCCACAGCCAGACCAGCTCAGGGCTCCTTGCTGATCCCAATCCAGGCTCCCGCTCTGCCTGGACCCCGAGTGCCCTCTGCTGGCGACACCTTTGCCCTCTGTGGATCTGGGTTTCTGGAAAGATGAGCCCGATGTGCCAGGCCCCCGAGAGATTGCCGGGTCCAGCTCCACTACACAGAGAGGACACCTGGGACAAGCAGGGACCAGGGTGGGGACTTAAGATTTCTGTCCCACGGTGTCATGGAGCAGCCTTGTGTGACCCAGAATTTGGTTTCCAGGACGTTTCCTGGTCAAGCTCCCCAGAGATGTAAGGGGGAGAACTGGGACGAGGAGGTGGGTGGGGACAGACAGACCCTTCCTGTCCAGCTCTTCTAACTCCAGGTCTGGGCTGGGATTTTACTTCCTCTAGACAGACCAAGGCCTGTGTATGACAACATACCCGAGCCCCGGGGACCTATGGGAGCCAAAAAGGTGGGTGTGCTCCAAAGGGATCTCCATGACCCTCTGACTTTCCCGGGGCAGGGTGGGGGGGCTGGTGTGATCTCTGGCGGACCCCCAGGGCCAGCTTGGGTCTCTGCATCTCCTCCTCTGCCTTCTCTGAGGCCCTCAAGACCTTCTCTGCCTGTTCATCTCTTCTCCTTGTCTTTTTGCTCTTTAATATGGCAATGCCCAGACTTGGTCCCTCTGGGAATCAGAAGGGACATAACTACCTCTCCCCCCGCCTTTCCTATCCTAGGGATTGAACTCAGGGGTGTCTGCCACTGAGCCACCTCCCCAGTCCTTTTTATATTTTATTTTGAATCAAGGTCTTGCTAAGGCTGGCCTCTTGCTGAGGCTGCCCTTGAACTTGAGATCCTCCTGCCTCAGCCTCCCAAGAGGCTGGGATCACAGGCCTGTGCCACCTCAAAGGAGGCCAAATCTGTTTCTGAGAATTTCTGGGAGTGGGCCCCATCCCCAGCCCTGTGATCTCTGCTTACTACTTTATTTTTCCCTAGAAGGTGCCACCAGGTCTCCCAGAGCAGTTCTATGAGGTATGTGGGCCCAGGAAGGACAGCTGAGAATTCTCTGTGGTTCAGGCCTGAGAAGCCATCTTCTCTAAACCACGCGTGGTCCACTGCAGGGTCATGCATCGATGGGGAGAAAGAGGCCCTGGTCTCACCG